GTCGTAGAGGACTTCAAACACGTTCCACTGCGGGTCGTGCTGCTGCACGGTGCCACGAACTAAAGTCGTGTTGAAGCGCTTGACGACACACGTCCCGACCAGCGGATGCTGCACGACCAGCGGCTGCTGCATGGCCACGGACATTTGGTTGAGGTTGAGTACTTCATCGCGCGGAAGCTTCATGACGAGGCCCGTGACGAAGCGGACCTATGCCGGGCGGTGAGCGCGACGCGGCGGCGAGCGGCGACGCACCTCGTAGCGCTGCGTCTCGGCGTCGAAGGCGACGACGTCGCCAGCGTGGGGCACGAGGACCTTGATGCCCACGAGGCCGCCCGTGTCATGGACCCTACGGAAGCATGAGTCATCATGGTCCATGAGCTGGCAGCACCTACGCCGACATGATGGCGATGGCGGCGGTTCTCTGGCAGAGACAGGTCGGGAATTTCCCTTGCTACAACGGGCATAGCCACCCAAAATTGAGTTCAAGGGGTCATTCATGTTTTACATTGTCTGAAGGACGGCAAAGAGGGAGTTTCGCCCATCCGGATACAAAGCGAGTCAGTGAAACGTTCAATATCCGGATAAGTTGAAGTTGCGTATCTATCGATTCAGGGAATTAGTTATCACTGTCGGGTCCTGCAACAAGAGCGACCGCCTATGAAAATGAGCATCGGGCGATCAAAACACAAACAGCAGAGGAGGGCGTCCGGTGCAGTGCATTGCACTTGCTACCAGCTCAATAACTCTTCTGTACTAGACGGGATTTATGCTCACTGATGCACACGTCGAGGACGCCCCGACAAAGTGTCTTCTCCCTCCACGCAACTGCATGACAGTCCTCGGTTTCCTCCACAGGCAAAGATCCCATCGCATGATGATCCTCGCGGCTCCAGCTACTTGGATACCGTTCCATTTCGTGTGTTTGCTGTGATGAAGGTCGAAACGGATCCGGCCTTCTTCTCAAGCAGATCACTTTACAAAGATCTCTCAAAACTCTCGGCAGCGAATTCAGTGGTCGCAACCGTGCTTCAGAAAACGCAGAGGTCATTCGATGTTCATTGAGGGCCTTTGCTGCGAGGCTGTTTGCTAGCTCGGACCAACGCAGTTGCGACCTTCTTCGTGCACTCCAGCACTTCAAGAACATTGAAAACGTAGCACGCGGGAGCTACTGCAACCCCAAGCTCAACCACTACTGGTTGCTTCTGATTGGCGAGTCAGTAGCGTCGCCTTGTGACGAAGAAGGCTGCCTCGTCCCGCGCCGAGACACCGATCGATCTCAACAAGTGACAAAGTTGAAGCCGTGGGAGTTTCAGCTGCGCCGTCAGTGGGCCTTCGCGCAGGCTTCAAGAAAAGCTCGTGCAGACGAGCAAGCACTTCGCTGCTCAGCTGGCGCATCGAGAACGCCATGCTAGTACATCGTTGTGCGTGCATGCGATGGACAGGCAGCACGACGAGCCTGTCGCAAAGCCGCACGTGGTTTGCAGGCAACGGAGCATACAAACAACAAGCTTCGCCACAGTACTTGGCGCACCGCCTTGGACTAAGAAACGCAGAGGTGCATCGCAGGTGCGCTGACCAGATGCCGAAATATCGAACCGTTGGACGCGCGCCACAATTTGCACTGGTGTGGCAACATTCGATAAAATAAACCAATCCCAATCGTCGCTCGCATGTATTTTAGCCAATGAAAGACACCGAGCGTGGCGGCGCAGCGACACCGGGGCATGGACACGACGACCTTGTGCTCCGTGGGATCATCGTCATGGACGCGCGAGACCTCACGGGTGGCTGCGGACCGCGGACGCCATGGACGCGCTACATTGAATGGATGGTAGACGAATGGAAGAGGAGGATAAATAAGAGATGGATTAGGTACGGCGAAGGGGACGTGATGATGCGCTATCGATCGTGGCTCGACGACTAAACTACTACTAACGACTACAGCGACCGAGGCGGGCTTAGAGCTCGAGCAAAAAGATGTCGTCGGCGTCGTCGTCCACGGCGCGGGTCGTCTTGGACGACGGCAAGAGCGCGTCATCGTCGTCGTCCTCGTATGCGACGCGGCGACGCATGCGCAAGTCGCGGTCTTCGTAGCTCTCCATGGAGCACGTTCGCCGACGGCGGTAGTCGATCTCGATCGGCTGCGAGTACGTGCTGAAGAAGAAGCCATCAATGTCGTCGGCAGCGACCGGCGACGGAAGGCCGGTCGTGCTGTCGTCGTCGTAGGCAAACACATCGACGTAGCTCGAGGTCGGCTTTTGCAGCGTCTGCTTGAAGAGCGTCTTGAACTCCTCGTCGAACGAGTCGGCGTCGAGGAGCGTGCGAGGCGCGGTCAGCATGGGCTCAGTCAGGCTAGGAAGATGCCACATGGCTTCGTACGACGAGGTTGCTCGGTCGAGAGCAAATTCAAAACTGGCACCCGCACGTGACGGAGCGCTTCGGCTCGACAAAAAAGGGTGTACGCCTGGCGCGTTTTTTATTTGTCGGGCTTTTTTGTACACGTGCGACGGACCAGTTGGTTGCTGGCGACACACACCCGAGCCAGAGGCACGGTCCATGCACGTCACTCGTCCTGTCTGCTCGATGCATGCATGGTCCAGCACGCTCGACTTCAGACGCCCAGATTGCACTTGTGGAGCGCCTTGGGTAGCACCCAAGAGTTCTTGACTGTTGCGGGTCGCGGGCGGAGATGCGAGAGATTCGACATGGCAGCGTGTACGTCCTAGGGGCGCCGACGAGACGGTGCGGATGATGGATGCGATTGGTCGTCGCTGGGGCTGACGCAGTGTTGTCGATCGTGGCCGACCAGTTGTGTGCTGAAAAGGGCTTTGTATGTCGCATCTTCGTTCGATCGAAGATTCGATGGGATGTGCGAGACGCTTATGCATTTGATTGGTGGCCGCCGGCAAGGATCTGACCGTTACAGTCCGTGACGGTGCGAAGAAAATGCAAGGGTCCACGTGTCAAAAAAGGGTGTGCGCGCTGCGGTCGCCACGTTGGCACGGCTGGCGCACGGGCCCTTGCCACTTGACAGAACCATATAAGCAACACTGCGACGACCGGCTCGTCCCATCCTGTGGCTCGAGAGCCCGCCATGGCCCAAAAAGACATCATAAAACTGTACCTTGGTGGCCTGGGAGGATTGCACCAAACTGGGAGCATCCGATGCACCAGTCGCGCAATAGAAACTTCAAGCGTTCTCAGGCGCAGCATTTGGTATTGGCAAGGCAGAGTGGCACGGCGCGGGTTGGACCTCTGATTGATAAGAAAACAGTACGCGAACCACCCAAGAAACCTTGACAGTGTTGGCTTCACGGCTGTGGTGCACAAACACGCCCATACCGTGGTCGAATCCCACGGTGCGGCCTCGGGATCGTCACATTCGAGAGGTGTACCTCGTGGCCCAGCCCGGTTTCTTGCCCCACAGCACATCGACGCCGCAGGCACCCAGAGAGCAACATGCATTGTGACAAGCGATTTGTTTTTGCAGTACGATATTACTCTCAATTTCCAAGTTTTAGAATACGAAAGCAGGATATATTTAGTCTAGCAGTCTTACCGGGGTTGCGCAAACGAGCGCTAGCCGCGTGCAATGCGCATGGGAGGTTGAAGTAATCCACGATCGTGTTTTTAGCAACACGCTGTCCTTTGTGTAGGTCGAATACTAGCGTAGAATGGCCACTGTACGCGGGGTGCAAAGAGGGTTCGCTGCCTTGATACTTCTGTACCCTTGACTTGGTGCGACGGACGGCACCACGAGCCAGCGAGTGGCGTCACACGCACCACGCCAAAGGCGGCACACGCCACACGAGCGACCGATCCATGGCGGCCACGCGTGCGCGGGCGTCCCGTCGCAAGCGCGTCGATGATTGGCGGAAACGCGATCCGATTATGGCAGGGTTGTCGCTTTGGGACCCCTTTTTGGCTACTCGCCGCGCTGAATCTTCGAAAGAATCTTTTGTCACATTTTTAGCGGTAAACTGGCGTCAAAAATGGACGATCATCGGCGACATCGGCCGCAGGTGCGCGGATCGATGTCAAATCCGAAGCGTTCGAATGGTCGCAACTGCTCGCTCCACCATCCCCGTGTCTCGCTATACGTCGAGCTGCGAATTGGAAATTTTGAGTTGTTGCCTGTCGCTTGCTACTGGTTGCTTGGATTTCAATGCATCGCAGCGGAGATCACAAAGATATATATCTCGCGCGGGTCATGTGAGGCACTTGGGCAAGCGAGTTGATAGGAGCTCTTCTAGAAAAATGATGGCTATGGTACACAACCACTCGAAGAAACCTTCGTTTCCATTGGCCGGTTCTGTAGGTCGCTTGCAGGCCCCAAGATCAGGACTCACGTGCTTTTAGTTTATTGGACCAGGTTGGCGTGAGGTTAAAATGATAGCTGCCCATATTCTAACAGGCAGCGCTGCTGTTTTCTCGACGTGAAGCCACTCGAAGTCGACATTCCTTGAACGCGTCGTCCTTGGGTGGCCCTAGGAGGTGGCGTCAGCTAATCATGCCGAGTGCATTCTAGAAGCTCCGTGTCTTCTAGAAGCCCGGACGAGACGCGACGGCAACAGCTGGATATACAAACAAGCTCATGACCCGTCGCTTTCGAAGTACGAGTAGCCGACGGCGGCGTCGTCCCGCGAGCCATACGACGATCTGGAACCGCATTCGACACCGCCACCATCGACATGGAATGTTGGGTCTCTTCCCGCCAAGGGTACTATTGTGTACCCCTGCTTCGCGCGCGTCTTCATGCAGCCAAAGGATCCGCACGACGCCGTCTTGGGATTCGTTTCGCTTGCAAGAACGATGGCGACACCGCCGCGCACATTCGAACGGCTCGCGCACACAGCCTTCTATCCAGGGTATAGAATCCATGATTTAGTACTGTACTAGTATTTATCAACCAATATCTTTCCGTCAAACGATCGCGCTTTCTAGCGGAAGGAAGAGCGTATTGGCAGCAGGAACACGGTGGGTGGGCGCACTACCGGTGCACCAACAGCCTTTCGTGGGCCTGTTCATGCGCGGGCATGAGCTATTAAATTTGCTGCTATACATGAAAATCAAGCCATTGATTTCCATTCGAAAGAGAGCAGCCTCCGAGCATCGACCGTCCCTATTCTGTACCTCGGTCGCGTCGCGCTCGGCGGCCTTGCTCATCTCAAACCATGATCTCAAACCCCCGGTCTGGCCACGGTTCCCGAATCTAGTAGCTAGCGTAACGACCAAGTTGCGAAACCATGAGTCGGTTGGCGGCCACCCGCGTGACCGAGAGCGACGACGACGACGAGACCATCGCGGGCCATGGCAACAACCGCCAGCACGACGTCGTCTTGAGCCGCGAAGAGTTCGATTTGCTGCAGGTCTCGCTGTTGCCATGTCGTTTGCTCACAGAAAGGGACAGGCGTTCCACAAGCTCATCCCCGTCCCCGCGCTCTCGTCTGGCATCACGCGCGTCGTGTGCGACGAAGAGCTCCAAGTCGGCGACGAAGCGGTGCGGCGGTCGCTTTGCCACTGCAATGTACTAGAAGGACATCCTAGGTGCCCGAGGTTGACGACGTGCCAGAGCTGAGCGCCAGTGCTTCGCACGTCTCAATCGTGCGGCGCCTCTCGCGCACCTTGACGCCGGTACGACTTGCTAGTATCTCAACAGCCCACCTTATCGACGTGAGGAGGAGGGCGTCTTGCGACAGACCCCGGCCAAGCCGCTGACCAAGGAGGTCGACCTCTCCAAGTTTACGCTGCGCACGCCCCAGCCACCATGCACGCCCAAGCGTACTTAGCCTCATATGATACCTAATTGTACAGGCCTTCTCGATGGCCCAATGCGAATGCGGCCAAGGAAGAGAAAGATGCGAAAGCTCCATGTTGTAGACGCGTGATCTCGGGTGCTAGTAGCCCGCTTCTTGCGGGTTGATAAAAGCACCATCATTACAGTGGCGGCTACAGCGTCTAGAGCTCGTCGCGATCGTAGCGATTTGGCGCGAGAAGGAGTGCCACGTAATCGCGGATCGAGCCCTCCTTCCAGGATTCGACCCTACGCAGCGCTCGGATGTGTCATGAGCAAGGTCATGGACGTACTCGACTTTGGTTTGCATGGCACCCGCGCTGTCGTAGAAGAGCAATTGTGGCTTTTGGCCGTGCTCGTACTAATACACATCATCAGCGACCGCAGGTGGGAGCTACGCGTACCTGCACCGAGAAGCCTGGCAGCGACCATTGGCCATGGTTCTGTACGAGCTGGACGACCTCGGGGTACCGGCGCAGCGATCAGGAGCAAACGCGGAGCTGCGCCGACGCATATGTCGTTCGTGGCGTGCAGCACTCGAGGCAGTCGCCACGCGTCGCGCCATCGTCGCGGCAGCTGTCGCAGTCGATGGCCGCCGCATCGAGCCCCAGCGATGTGCATTCATCGCGTGTGAGCACCGCCGCGAGCGCGCCACCAACGAGCGCGGTGAGGATGCTTGTACGCCGCATGCTGGAAGATCGCACTGTGCGATCGTCCGGATACGAAGCGCCACGACAAATCTCAAAGAGTATGGGCAAACCGACACGCATCACCACCAAGCAAGGGCTATCGACCTCACGACTACCCCCACAGCAGCTCAGCAGCTCGGCGGCGCTGGGCCCTGGTCAACGGAACTCGCGCAGACTCTGCAGCATGGAACCGTGGTCGTTCACCGGCGCATCGGATAAGATCTTGTTGAAGCACGACCACTTGAAGGTGGCGCGATCTTATACGACGACGCTTTGCACCCACTTCAACGCGACGGTGACGGGTCAGCCAAGGACGTTGTGTACATGCCATCTACCCGAAGCAATGGTTTATGGACAAAG